ACTCTGTCTTTAATTGTTTAATGAAGTTTTGGTAGAGGTCTTTTTCTAGAGGCCCTCACCCTACTCTGACTACACCACTGTCCCTGTCTCACTTTCACCAGTCTCTAGTTTTGACATCTGGAATAATACAGTCTCTATGCACTTGAGTATCCTCTTCTGTCAAGTAGAGAGAAAAAACATGCTGTTATTTACCTTAGTGGATTTCTATGGTATTCTAATCTAGTGACATATATTTGAAAGTGATTGTTAAACTACAAATATTATAAATTACTCAATGCTGGCAACATTAAATAAAATATGTGATTTTGGCCACCTATAAGATTCAATTTTTTTCATCCATAGAAAAATACCCACCCTCCTCACATTTTCAATAATTAAATTACATATTGTATGTACAAAAAAAGCTTTAGTTTAATTTTAGGTATAAAAGCTAATTAGTATTAACATTTCATTTGTAAAAAGTTTTAAAATTTTCAGTAATTACTACTTCAAGAAGAGAGCAAAAATGATTTTTACTTGTTTCATTCAGAAGCAAGATTGTCTTTATCCTAAAAAATATTTTAGACCCTATTTTATTATTTTATGTGCTTCACTATAAAGAAAATTAATATATTAGTGTTTACTAAATGTTTACTACATGATTGACATTATTGATACTAAAGGCATATTATTAATTTTACATTTTAAAATACCCATTATCAGGTTGTATTGATGTCATTTGTCTTTCTCACTTTCTTTTGCAATTTGTGAAGTTATTAACTTGGTAAATGTGGCTTTATGAATTAAACACATATCTAACTCACTAGGCCCCTGACTTTTTGACTTTTCAGTATCTTCATTTTAACGTTAGATTTCATTATACATTAAGAATTAACTTATTTTAATAGTATATAGAATCTTGCTAAAGCTACTTTGCCATAGAATAAATATTTATACTATTTATGTTACAAAGCATAAAACTTTTAATAAAGAAGTAATAAAAGACAAAAGGAAATTTATGTTATACTTTAAAAGGGGTAGGAATAGAAATGGCAAGTTAATTGTAAAAATGTATGACCCAAGTGTAAAGAAGTCTATAATCAGATTGGCTTGAATTGTTTTCCTCCAGAGATGACAGAATCCAACAAATATAACCTTGAACTGGTAAATCAGGGTACTTCTGCACGATGGCACAAGAGAACTACAGAAGAATGTGGAGAAAACTATAAGTCCTGTATTCCATTGTCTTCTCTCAGTATACCGAGGTGAAGCTCAGAAACTGTGATTAAGTCAGTGATGAACATTCCGTTTATTTTAGCTCAATGAGGAAAACAGAAATGAGGTGATCTTGAATACAATATTGGAATATGTAACACAATTAGTAGAAACCTGAATTTAGGATCTTTTCATGCCCTAAATATGATGAGATTATCATAATAATGACAATTGGGAGAGCAGTTTCTAAGTAATCACTGAACAAATAACTGTAAGGAGGAGTAAATAGAAATGGAATGCAGAAGACAGAAGCCATCCTCCAGAGTCATGTCCTTAGGCGGTGTGGGTGCCGGTGACTCAGTTGCTATTCACAGAATTGTTCCTGAATGGAGTAAAGAAGATACGCCCTCAGTCTTTCAACAAGCCAGAATATCACTGAAATGAGAGCTTGCAATAGCTCACATAAAAAGGAAAACAACAGACTACTCTCACCTGGGCTCTTGGTTCCATTACGAATTTTGTTTAAATGTTAAAAAAGAAGTGATTATCAAATAATACCGTTTTATAAGAGTTAATTCTAAGAATGAAAATGTGCCATTGGTAATAATCACAGGGGAAAGTTTGTTTTGATCATAGACATAATGTTGAGAAGGGTTTGATAATAACCAATATGAATTCTTAGTTAAAAGGAACTTAATTTTTAAACCTCTAAAATATAAATACTGCCTTTTAGATATGTGTAGATATGTATAAAATATATGTATGTGTATATATATATTCAAAAGCTATCATGCTTATTGATAAATGCCAGCAGCATTTTTATCATAGTTAGAAAAAGCAAAAATTTTACAGTCATTACTGTTGAATAATATTGTTTTGCTGGTACTAGCCAACATGTATAACCAAAAAAAAGGAAAAGAGTAAATGACAAAAAAGTAGAATAGGTAAATTAACATTATTTGCAAAAAAGATGTGATTTAAATATTCTTCAAGCCCTCAAAAGCTTCACACACAATTATTACAAACAATAAAGAAATGTTACACACGGACTTGACTGAAAATAAGATGATAAAATCAGTTGTCTGTCTTACTAACTACAAAAATAAGAAAAATGTGATGGAAGAAAAATGCCATATTTACAAGACCAAAAATCACCAAAAAATGAAATAAACCTTTAATTAAAAACTCTAGAAATAATCTCCAATAACCTAAGCAATCCTGAGAAAGAACAAAGCTGGAAGCATTGCAATTCCTGATTTCAAACTTGGTTTAAATGTTATAGTAGTAAAAAAGGTAGGATATTGGTGAAATATAGACACACAGATCAATGGAATGGAACCAAGAGCCCAGAAGAAAACCCGTTCATAGACGTCCAGCTGATATTTGGCAAGGGAGCCAAGAAGACTCAGTGGAGGAATGGATAGTCTCTTCAATAGATGATGATGGGAAAATTGGATAACCAGGCAAAGAATGAAATTGGACCCCAATCTTACACCACTAACAAAAATTAATTGAAATGGATTAAGACCTGAAACTATACAACTTTTAGAAGAAAATATAGAGGGGAAGCTCATTGACATTGATGTTGGTAACAATGTTTTTGGAAATGACACCCAAACAACAAGGAACAAAAGCAAAAATAAGCGAAATTACATCAAACTAAAAAGCTTCTGCACACCAAAATAAAAAGCTAACCTATGGGAAAAAATATTTGCAAACCATCTTTCTGATAAGGGGTTAATATCCAAAATATATTAGGTACTCATACAACTCAATAGCAAAAAAAAAAAAAA